TTGAACTATTTACCTTGTTTCCATTTTTAATCCGATAACAATTAAGAACCAAAAATTAAATAACAACAGAATTTAATTAGGCGGAAGACTAAATTGCAAAGTTTTAATAATACTGCTAATGCCAATCCATAACATATCTACCCAAGACTGGTGTGACAACTTCAAGAACTGTCTAGGAGTACTACAAATAAGGATCTGAAAGAAATAATACAACGTTGTCTCTATAAATACATGAAAGAAACAGGAATAAAGATAGAAGGAGACGCAAAGGCCTGCGGACGCCTGCAGGACTACCTCGAGTCGCCTGATGATCAAGAAGCAGCAATCTCACTACGGTCCGTAAGCTAAAGCACCGGGATCTGCACAAAAGAGTGCAGAGTGTAGTATCAGCACAACCGACCCCATGTGCTGGTAAGTGCCTAGCCTAACCTCGGCAATGTAGTGTCGAGGCTAGGACCAAACTACCAAATAAATATGTGCAGTTAAATCATATATATAGCAAGTAACAATAAAGGAAAAACTAGCAGTTTAAGATGGGAAGGGGACATGCTGTGGGGGTATCATTTATCAACAGTAACTCAGGAAAAAAGCATAAAGAACAATTTAAAAATCGCAGCAGAAGGAATAAGGAAACAGTAACAATTCAATATCCACTTTTATCCTTTACTGTTGCGGCGCGCAACCCGATCCAAATCATAAAACACTGTTGCGGTGTACAACCCGATCCACCTCACATTTCACTATTGCGTGTGCAACCCGATCCATATAATATCGTTGTGGCGTGCAACCCGATCCCTATAATATTTTTGCGGCGTGCAACCCGATCCATATAATATTGTTGCGGCGTGCAACCCGATCCATATAATATTGTTGCAGCGTGCAACCCGATCCATATAATATTGTTGCGGCGTGCAACCCGATCCCAATATACAATTCAACACCAATCACAAAATAAAAGTCCCGGCAAGGGAACAATAAGGGAACAACACTATCCCGGCAAGGGAATCGACAATATAAGTAAATTCGTCCCGGCAAGGGAGTCAGCTATAACCAAACTTGTTCCAACATTTAACATCACAAAAGAAACCCCAACTAGCACCATTACTCAACCATAAGCAACTTCCACGGGAATAATCATAATTCTTGCCCAACACAGGAAATCAACAACTTAGGCATTCGTAGTAATTATTAAGGACACAACGATTTCAATTTAAGACTCACGGGCATTCTTGACACCGACGTATAGATACTCGTCACCATGCCTATACGTCGTACTCAACAAATAACACATAGCAAATAGGACATAACTCCTAATCCCTCAAGCTAAGGTTAGACCAAACACTTACCTCGATGCCTCGAACACAATTCAAGCCTCAACTATCGCTTTACCTCTTGATTCCACCACCAGTTCGCCCGTATCTAGCCACAAGTTACTTAATTATATTAATAAATGCAAAATGAATCAATTCTAATGCATGGAAATAAGTTTTCTAAAGTTTTTTCCCAAAAAGTTAAAAATCGACCCCGGGCCCACATGATCAAAACCCGAGGTTTGAACCAAAATCCGATTACCCATTCACCCACAAACTCAAATATACAATTTGTTTTGTAATCGGACCTCAAATCGAGGTCCAAATCCCAAAAATTTGAAAAACCTAAGTTCTACCCAAAACACCCAATTTCCCCATTGAAAATCATTGATTTTGAGTTGAAATCATGTGAAAAGATGTTAAAGATTAAAGAAAACAAGTTAGAAATGACTTACAATCGATTTGGAAGAGAAGTTGTCTTTGAAAAATCCCCCAAGAGTGTTTTGGTTTTGAAAGAGTGTGAAAAATGGTTGAAATGCGTCTAAGTTATGAGTTTACAGGTTTGCAGGTATCGCAATTGGGACCAGGGTTCGCAATTGCGAACCCAGAAGCCTGCTATTCTCGCATTTGCGAAGGGACTTTCGCATTTGCGAAGTCGCTTTTGCGATAAATTTGTCGCATTTGTGACGACTGACTACAACTGGAGGCATCGCATTTGCGATGAGTACCTCGCATTTGCGAGGTAATGCTGGCGTGGGCTCTTTCGCATTTGTGACATAACTTTCGCATTTGCGAGCCAGGCTTCGCAAATGCGAAGCGATGCGAAGCCTACAGGCCTGCAATATACCAGTTAAAATCTGCAACATCCTAAGTCCAAATTTCACTCCGCGGCCTATCCAAAACTCACCCGATCCCTCGGGGCTCCAAACCAAACATGCACACCAACCTAAAAACATGATACAGACTTGCTCGTGCATTCAAATCACCATAATAATATCAACAACTATGAATTCAGCATCAAAATCATGAAATCACTTAAGAACATCAAATTTTCTAATTTTCTCAAATAAGGTCTGATTCACGTCATTTCAAGTTCGTTTCTTACCAAATTTCACAGACTCTATTTAAATCACATATAAGACTTGTAACGGGTTCCGGAACCAAAATACGGGCCCGATACCATCAAATTTCAAACATATTTTATTTCCAAAAACTTTCCAGAAAATAATTTTCTTTAAAAATTTATTTCTCGGGCTTGGGACCTCGGAATTTGATGCCGGGCATACGCCCAAGTCCCATATTTTCCTACGGACCTCCCGGGATCGTTGGAATATGGATCCGGGTCTGTTTGCTCAAAATGTTGACTGAAGTCAACCATAATCAAATTTTAACTCTAGAAATTTCTATTTCTCTTATTTTCACATAGAAGGCTTTCTGGAAATAGGTCCGGACCATGCATGCAAATCGAGGTGAGAGAAAAAGGAGGCTTTAAGGTCTCGGAATACTGAATTTATTTCTAAAACAAGTGATGACCTTTTGGGTCATCACAATAAGTCTGCTCGTGGAGTGTGGAAGGTGATAACCAACAATATCAAGAGAACATGAATTATGTGGGCCAACTATGGGGGACAGAGGCCAGGTGATCAGAATCGGGTTCAGCAAAATCAACAATATAGACCAGCTCCGCAGCAGTACAACAACAACAACAACCTTGGGGCTATGCGACCACAGGGTCAAGTGGTGCCTTACCAAAGGCAACAGGGTTACAACCAGCAAAATCAGCAGTAGGCTTATCAACAACCTCAACAACACCAGACTGTGAGACACGAAGATGGGTTTGCTAAACTTGAGGGAATGATGCAATAAGTGATTGGGTCCACTAGAAAACTAACTGACAGAGTAGACTCACACGAATCAGCGATAAAGAATATTGACATCCAATTAGGCCAGATTTCGATGGCCTTAAATAATCGTCCCCACGGGACTTTACCTGCAGACACACAGATCAATCCAAAAGAGCAGGGCCCGAAGCAGCTTATGGCAGTGAGTCTCCGAAATGGTAGAGACCTAGATCTGGAGCAAGAAATTGCTCGTGAAAGAAGACCTACTGAGACACTGGTGCCAGTACCCATCGAGATAGATGATTCAACAGGGTTAACTGAGGTGATGGTACAACATGCACAAGAGAACACTAACAAAGAAAATGAGGTTGTGAAAAAGACTGAGGTTGCACCGGGATCGATAGTAGAAGCAGTGCCTGAACAAGAAAAAAATCAAATCACAGGGAAGAAGCGACCTTCAGCACCATTCCCACAGAGATCGGCTAAATACCAGAAAGATGAGCAGTACAAGAAATTCTTGGAGATGTTGAAGCAAATGCATGTCACAATAAGCATTTGTGATTTGAAAGGACCACTATAACAACTCGAGATTTCTAAGTGAAGATGGAATAAAATTATAGTAAATTTTATGACAGAACTACCTCAAATGATTACAGGTTATGTTATATTTGGAAAATTGTAAATTTGTTACCTAGTAGGCACATTCCTTGCTAGTCAAAACCTCTTGCAATGAGGTGAAATATGCACATATATACATGAATGGAAAATTATCCAACTCCATGGGGTTCTATTGTCCACCATTCTGATAGAGAATCACAATTTACTGCACGCTTTTGAATATCTTTCCAACAAGTAGTGAGTACACGAGTAGATCTTTGTAATGCCTCTCATCCGCGATTAGATGGGTAATTTGAACGTACTGTACAGATCTTGGAGAATATGTACTCTTTGTTTTTGAGATAGTTGAGATACTTATCTACCTTTTTACCTGCGTTTGTTTATAATAATAGTTTATAGTTAAGCATCTAGATGGATCTATATAAAGCCTTGTACATTAGGCGGTTTCATTTACCTATCGGGTGGTTTTAAGTCAGTGGCACTAAGGTATTGAGACTATACTTACGGATAAAATAAAATAAAAATATTAGGACTAGATTTGGTATAAGAAGCGATTAATAAGTTCATTTGGCTAGGATAGGTTTGCTCACATCACAAAGCATACAAAAGTCTTATTGTACAGGTAATAGAAAAATAGACTTAGAATTTACAGTAAGAGAGCGAGCGATCCTATGAGTCTCCTTTATGAAAAGCGTGATGCAATTTGAAAAAAAAGAAAGATAAATCCAAGGCTTATAAGATTATAAGAGATAATTGAAGGAATGGGAGTCGTAGCTTATCGTTTAACACTTCTTCTATTTTTTTTTCATCTAGTATTCCATGTTTTTATTCTAAGAAAATATATATTGGACTACTCTTATGTGCCTAAAGCACCAATTATACAACTTTGATGAGAAATTAACTTAAAACGATGAGTCGAACGCGAGTGTTGACAGATAAATAGGAAAGTTACGATCAAAAGAAATTATGCTCGTGAAGGTCTTATGGAGAAACTATTTCGTTGAAGAAGCTATTTGGGAAGTGGAAGATGCTATGTGAGTCAGATATCCTCACTTATTTCAGTCTACAGACATACACTTCATTTGAAATTCGGAGACCGAATTTCATAAGGAGGGAAGAATGTAATACTCCATAATTTTAAAAGAGGGCAAATTGGTCACTTAGCTAATAATTTAATGAAAAGGGGATGAAGCAATTTAAGAGGCTAAGCCCCTCTGAATGGTGTGGCGTGAGATTTATAAGGGTTTGGAGAGGATATTTGCCTTCCAACAAATAGAATACATAAAGGAAAACTTGGGATATAATTACAACTCAAATCGGTAAACAAAGTGAGATCGAGGAAACTTAGTAGCAACTTGGAGTCAAAGCCCAACTGCTGGCTTGAAGAAGCGAGGATGCGATGCTTGGAGAGGAGCAAGACGCACCAATTTATTTCCTTCTTGAATAAAAGTACTCTGTTTGGCATCCAAGAATTAACAAGCAATTTCAAAAACTAGCAACGTAAGTATTCTGAAAGAAGTTTGGTTTCATATTGTTTAACTTTTCAATAGTGATATTGGGATTTAGTTTGTTCTTTAATTATAGTGGGTAGTACTAAAGATGATTTTTATGATGAAATTAATTAGTTGTTGAATTGGTGATACATAGGAATTACAAAGAATTATTTTGATAGGGACATGGGTAGCCTAATTAAGGTGATTTCAAATGGAACCAAGAGGAAAGTGGACAGAATAGAACCTGCCTATGTTTGTAGTTCATGAAGTTGACACTTAAATTCGTGTTTGTGATAATATAGATTGATCGTAACAAGTTGTATGGATGGCTCGAGGCGACGCGCTTGGTATTTTTACACGAGTACTGTGAGTAGTAATCTTACCGCAATTTGTATTTTCATAACTTGCATGATTTACACATGATTTTTAATATGAATATGTTACCGATAATTTTGAGTTGCATGTGGGACAAGTCTTTTACTCGATATGATACCGAAATAGTTATTTGAGATGATTACCGTTATTTTAAATATTTTTGCTGTCACTAGATATGTTTTACCGTTACTTGAATTTACTGTGATCTAAATGAAATTACATGATTTGATAAGAACCGAAATGCCCTATATTGTTTTAAAATATTTTTCTATGACTATATACGGATACAGAAACAAGTATAAATGGGAGTAGACTTTGAAGGATCCCGTAGCTAACGGCGGGTTCGTTAGACCTGGTGCACCTTATATTTACCGATTACAGAGTACAGTTATAGCCCTCGCTAGTGGGAAGGTAGAACTAGCATACCGTTACCGACTTCCCTCGAGTAGGGACTACCGTTATATATGACTTCTTGCAAAGAAGTCCACAGTTATACCGGTTACATGATCCGTTCATTGAAACCTCCCAAAAATGTGAACATTGATATTATATAGTGGTTACCGAGCTTATTACTGAATTGTTAATTGTATTATACTACAAGAAAAGCATGATGAGACTGAAAATTATTTATTGTTTCTGAAAGGGCATTTTTATGTTATTTTCTGTTTCAGATACTAGTATATTTTCTTACTTGTCCCCAATAAAAACGGTTGTGGTTAAGTGTTATTACTCACTGAGCTAGCGACTCATTCCCCGCTAATTTTTTTTACAGAGACAGCAGTTGACACGGGCGAGGATTTAGTTAATTAGGGCGCACAGGTTGATAGTTCTTGGTGAGCCTCGCACTTGTTCGCGTGGGCGGAGATTTTATTTATTGTTATAGTCTTTTCTTTGAACTCTTAGAGTCACTCCATAGTCATTAATTTAGTGTCGTGAGTATTATCTTTTTATTATAGTCTTATGTTGAATATCGTTCTTTATTATCAAAGTTGGAGATAAATTAGTATTTCTGGTTGTTAGTGGGATGATTAGTAATGGTGGAGACTTGTTTTGGTTAATTGATAAGTTGTCAATTGTTTGGTTTGATTAGGATGGTTGGTTGTTGATTTTGAGACAGGGAAATTTTTGGATAGTCCAAAAACGGGGGAAACTCTGTCCGATTTTCTGTAAAATACCGATGAGCCTTACTTGGGAGCACTTGCTCCTAAGTGCCGGTCATGATCCTATATTGGGTCGTAACACCAGACTGTGAGACATGAAGATGGGTTTGCTAAACTTGAGGGAATGATGCAACAAGTGACTGGGTCCACTGGAAAACTAACTGACAGAGTAGACTCACATGAATCATCGATGAAGAATATTGACATCCAATTAGGCCAGATTTCGGTGGCCTTAAATAATCGTCCCCACGGGACGTTACTTGCAGACACACAGATCAATCCAAAAGAGCAGGGCCCGAAGCAGCTTATGGCAGTGAGTCTCCGAAATGGTAGAGACCTAGATCTAAAGCAAGAAATTGCTCGTGAAAGAAGACCTACTGAGACACTGGTGCCAGTACCCATCGAGATAGATGATTCAACAGGGTTAACTGAGGTGACGGTACAACATGCGCAAGAGAACGCTAACAAAGAAAATGAGGTTATGAAAGAGACTGAGGTTGCACCGAGACCGATAGTAGAAGCAGTGCCTGAACAAGAAAAAAATCAAATCACAGGGAAGAAGCGACCTCCAGCACCATTTCCACAGAGATCGGCTAAATACCAGAAAGATAAGCAGTACAAGAAATTCTTGGAGATGTTGAAGCAAATGCATGTCAAGGTAAGCAAATTCCATTGATTGATGCTTTAAAGGAGATGCCTGGTTATGCGAAAATGATGAAGGACTTTATGCCCCGCAAGTTCGACTTCCAAGACTTGGCCATAGTCACATTGATTCAGACCTGCAGTGTTGTTGCGACGAGACCCATAACTGAGAAGTTGTCTGACCCAGAAAGTTTCACAATCCCTTGCACAATAGGCAACTATGCATTTGCTAAGGCACTGTGTGATCTGGGGGCAAGCATAAACTTTATGCCCCTAATCATCTACAAAAGTCTAGGCATTGGAAGAGCTAGACCCACGTCCATGTTACTACAGCTGGCTGACCGAACAATGAAGAGGCCCTCTGGTATTCTTGATGATGTATTAGTACAGGTTGGGAAGTTTATGTTCCCAGCAGATTTTGTCATTCTTGACTGTCGGGTTGACGAGGAAATTCCCATAATTTTGGGAAGACCATTCTTGGCCACTGGGAGAGCTTTAATTGATTGTGAAACTGGAGAGCTAAAAACGATATTAAAGGATGAAGAGATAACATTCAACGTGCAGAAACTATGAGGCGACCAAGTGAATTTGCTAATTGCTCTCTAATAGATGTCGTGGATGTAGTTTTGGAGGAGGAAGATGAGGCATTGAACACTAAAGACCCTCTAACAGCCTGTCTCATGAACTTGGATGAAGCCAATGAAGAAATACTTGGAAGAGTGGGTACTTGCTCTTGAAGGCCAGGGTTTTTGGAGAAGGGAGCTCGAATTTGAGCCTTTGCACTTAGAGGAAAGAAAAACTCCTCAAGATAAGCCATCGATAGAAGAGCCACCAAAGTTGGAACTGAAGCCACTGCCATCTCATTTCAAGTATGCATTGACCTAACTCAACTTTACTTGATATTATCTCATCTAGTCTGTTAGATGTGTAGGCAAAATAGCTTTTGCAGGTACTGACGGAGTGCAAGACTGCGATTGGGTGGACCATTGCGGACATTAAGGGTATCGGCCCGGCCTTCTGTATGCATAATATTTTACTGGAAGATGGCATAAACCTTCTAGAGAACATCAAAGAAGGCTGAACCCCAACATGAAAGAAGTGGTGAAGAAAGAAGTAATTAAGTGGTTAGATGCGGGAATCATATTCCCCATCTCTGACAGCAACTGGGTTAGCCCAGTTCAGCGTGTGCCAAAAAAGGGAGGTATGACGGTAGTGAAAAATGAGAAGAACGAATTGATCTCTACACGAACAGTCAGAGGTTGGCGAATCTGTATGGATTACAGGAAGTTGAACTTGGCTACCAGGAAAGACCATTTCCCACTGCCATTCATTGATCAGATTCTAGATAGATTGGCAGGGAGGTCCCACTTTTGCTTTCTTGATGGGTACTCGGGGTATAATCAGATCTCTATTGCCCCGGAGGACCGAGAGAAAACATCGTTCACCTGCCCTTATGGAATCTATGCTTTTTGGAGAATGCCGTTTGGCCTATGCAACGCACCTGCCACATTCCAAAGGTGCATGATGGCCATTTTCACGGATATGGTAGAGGAAATAATGGAGGTTTTCATGGATGACTCTCAGTGGTGGGGAATTCATTCGATGACTGCCTTATAAACTTGAGAAGAGTATTGAAGAGGTGTATTGAGATGAATCTGGTACTCAACTGGGAAAAGTGCCATTTCATGGTATAGGAAGGTATAGTCTTGGGGCACCTAGTGTCAAGCAAAGGCATTGAGGTAGATCGTGCAAAGGTTGATGTGATAGAAAAGCTTCCACCACCCATATTCGTCAAAGCAATAAAAAGTTTCCTGTGGCACGCCGGTTTCTACAGGAGATTTATAAAAGATTTTTCCAAAATTGCTAAACCCTTGTGTAAATTGCTTGAAAAAGATCACCCTTTTGTGTTTTCTGATGACTGCAGGGTAGCATTTGAGGAACTGAAGAAGAGACTGGTAACAACACCTATCATAGTTGCCCCTGATTGGGAGCAACCATTTGAGCTGATGTGTGATGCGAGTGACTATGCTGTGAGAGCAGTTCTTGGGCAACGAAAAGATAAAAACATGCATCCAATATACTACACAAGTAGAACGCTGAGTGGAGCCCAGTTGAATTACACTGTGACCGAGAAGGAGATGCTGGCAGTGGTGTTCGCATTTGACAAATTCAGGTCATACCTGATAGGCTCAAAGGTGATTGTTTATACTGACCATGCTGCTCTCAGGTACTTAATCGAGAAGAAGGAGTCAAAACCGCGCCTGATTCGATGGGTGCTACTGCTGCAAGAATTTGATTTGGAAATCTGTGACCGAAAGGGAACAGAGAACCAAGTAGCTGATCATTTGTCCAGGCTGGAAGGAGCTGAGAAGAAGGTTGAGGTAGAAGAGATTCTGGAAACTTTCCCAGATGAGCAACTATTAGCCACAAGTCTTGAGGAAGCGCCATGGTATGCAGACATTGCAAACTACCTGGCGAGCGGTATTGTTCCTTATGACCTTTCCTCTGTCCAAAAGAAAAAGTTCTTTCGTGATTGCCGCATGTATTATTGGGATGAACCTTATCTGTTCAGGATTTGTATTGATAACATGATCCGGAGATGTATCTTCGAGATAGACCAGTCTTCTATTTTGCAGGAGTGTCACACGTCACCATATGGTGGGCACTTCGGGGGAGTAAGGACAACTGCGAAAGTCTTGGAGTCGGGCTTCTACTGGCCAATATTGTTCAAAGATGCACATTTATGGATAAAAGGGTATGATGAATGCCAACGAACCGGGAATATTTCCCGCCGACATGAGATGCCTATGAACCCAATTCAGGAGGTAGAAGTGTTTGATATATGGGGCATAGATTTCATGGGGCCTTTTGTCAGCTCATATGGCAACAAATACATACTCGTCGATGTGGACTACGTGTCCAAATGGGTGGAAGCTGCAGCACTCCCTACAAATGATGCAAAGGGGGTAATTGGTTTTTTGAGAAAGAACATATTCACCCGATTTGGCACTCCAATGGCAATAATCAGTGACGGAGGCACTCACTTTTCTAATCGAGCCTTTGCGAAGTTGTTAGAGAAGTATGATATACGCCACAAGGTGGCCAACCCATATCATCCACAAACAAGCAGGCAAGTGGAAGTCTCAAACAGAGAAATAAAGAGTGTGTTGACTAAGACTGTGAGTGCTACTAGAACAGGTTGGGCGAGAAAGTTAGATGATGCACTTTGGGCTTATCGAACCGCTTTCAAAACTCCAATCGGCATGTCGCCATACAAGTTGGTGTTTAGGAAGGCGTGTCATTTACCGGTGGAATTGGAGCATAGAGCTTGGTGGGCGTTGAAGTAGTTGAATCTCGATATTGAAGCGGCAGGAACAAGTAGAGTCACGGAGTTGCATGAGCTTGATGAGTTTCGATATCACACTTTTGAGGGAACAAGATTTTACAAGGAGATAATGAAGATGATACATGATAAAAATATTATTGAGCGGAGTTTTAAACCCGGAGATACGGTACTGCTATACAATTCAAGATTGAGGTTATTTCCGGGCAAATTAAAGTCACGATGGTCAGGGCCTTTTTGTGTGGTTGAAATTCACCCCACTGGTGCCGTAGAGATTGCTGCGGAAAATGACTCTCGCACGTTCAGAGTCAATGGGCACAGATTAAAACATTATGTGGGCATGGATGAAGCAAAAGTAGTGTCAGTGACCCATTTGATCGACCCTCCAATGTTGAGCGCACCGTAAATGCGCTTACCTCCGTCGTGCCGCGACGTTAAATTAGGCGCTTCATGGGAGGCAACCCATTGGACTGTTGTATTCGTCATGCCATGACGTTAACTAAGGCGCTTGTTGGGAGGCAACCCAATTCGTAGTTGATTTTTAGTGTAGTTAGAATTTTTTTCTTTTTGTTTTTTAGTTACTAACAAGTTTGCAGGTGAGTTTGGGCAAGTCGAGCAAGGTTTAAACGTCACGTGAAGCCAGGGAAACGCCAGGGTCAGCCGGGCCTTAGGCTGGAGTCGCCTGGCTAAAGCCAGGGTCAGGCAGGCCTTAGGCTGGCGACGCCTGGCTAACGCTAGGGTCAGCTAGGCCTTAGGCTTGCGACGCCTGGCCAACGCCAGGTATGTATTTTCGGCCCTTTTTTAAGTTATTTCTTCTTATTTTGGTCGAAACAAACCTCACAAACACGCCCTCACACACTGAACACTCTACAAAACAAACCCTAACCTCATTTCAACCAACACATACCAAGTTCTACAAGAAATTTCACAAGAACACAAACACATTGCACCAATTGCTTGCTCACCCACCCACAACCACCAACACAATCACCATCCACATAGAGGTCAAGCTTTGTCTTGCTAGTCTTTCACACTCATCCGAAATTCTAAGGCAATCTACTCTTCACAAAGCTTCAAAGGTATGATTCTATCTCTTTTCTTAGTAATTTCGTGTTGGGTAATGTATTAAGTG